TTTGAAGGCAATTGCGAGGCTGATGTGGCCCCCCGGTGAAAATGAGTTTGACACCCCTATCTTAAGCTAAGTGAGTCCAGCAGTTTTAGTAAGTTTAGAGATTTTAAGTCTGAGGATCCCATCAGTTTTCTCAACCTTGCCTGGTGATTGAGGGTGATAGAGACAGCAATAATTCCAAAGTTTGTAATGTTTTTACTAGGTTCATACAGTTTTCCCAGTGAAGTGGGTGTCTCTGTCTCTGGAGGTCATTGAAAGTATATCCCAAGTGGGAAGCACATTTTCCACCAGTTTCTGGGCCATTGTGAGGGCATCAACCTTGCAGAAAGGGGAGCTTCCACCCATAGGGAAAACATACATTCAGTAACAAAGACATATTGGTGACCTATACTGAGTGGCAGTCCAGTTGCAGGTGTTCTAAGTGTCCAGAGGGAAGAGGTTTGAGACTTCTGGGTACAAAAATAGTTTTTCCAGGATTACGAACCTGGCAAGTCAGACATTGGTGGAAAACTGTCTTTGCAATTTTGTAGAAGACTCCCCGCCAATGTTTCTTTATAATTTGAGTCATCTTAATTGCACCGTGGTGAGTGAAGGAGTGCAAAAATTTTTTAAAAATGGGGTTTGCCAGGGACCCTGAAAGATCCAAGCAGCCATCTGGATTTCCCATAGTCTAGACTGTTCATTTAATTTACAGCCATTGTTTGCTCATCCCGACTTCTCTGATTCGTGTTGCAAGGACCTCATCATGGCAAAAGTCCATGTCTATTTTTGCAGAAGTAGCGTAGACTTTATGCACATGTGTCACGACCTTTCTACATTCAGTTGCTGCTGCCTTTGTGTGAAAGTCAGCGAGGGCATTTCCCTGACACTCAGGCTCAGTCCTGTTAGTATGACTCTGTTTTGGTGACAGTAACTTCAGAGGGTAATAGAATAGCAGTAAGAAGTTTGTTTACTTGTTGCCCATTTTTATTGGGGTCCTTGTAAAATAAGAAGACCCCTTTATTTCCATAACAGCCCAACATCATGGATGACCTCAAAGGCACACCGGTCTCAGCAATGCACCCTTTTGGTAACGGGCATGCTCTGGTGAGAGCACGGGCCTCTGAATATTGGGCCAACTGGGCTTGTGGGCATTTCCCCATCCAAGTGGCTCCTGTTGGGTAGTAACAGCTTGGAAATCCCCTTTTTCATTTTTACAGTACGAACCATCAACAAACAAAATTAGATTCAGATGAGTAAAGGGGTATATTGTAAATCACGGCACAGTGTCACAAAATGGGACATTATTACTTCCCAATCATGGGGCTCACCTTAGTCAGGAATAGTAATGTAGCAGGAATAAAAACATTGCAACATGCAAGATGTAGGTTAGGTGATGATGGCAGAAGGATCTCATAGGAGGTTAGTCTGCATTCAGAGAAATGCTGAGTCAATTCAGGGTTAAGAAGACATTAGGCAGCCTGTGGAATGTGTGAAAAAAATGTTAGTTCCGAGAGTGAAATCCCCAGAGGTTTCTACTCACTTTGCAGCTGCAGCTGTGCCCATAGGCAGTTGGGATGGGCACCAGCCACCTGAATCCAGCCATCTGCTAGGATAGGCACTATGGCAGGCATTAGGCCCATGTTCGTTGCCATGTTCTCATGTGAGCACTCCCAGGGGCCGGTCATCTCTTTCATGCACAAATATGGTGAAAAGTCCTAGAGAGCTAGGTCACCATAGCCCAGTGCCACCTGGTTCGGACAGCACTCGTTGCAGTCTTACAAAGGTTTGCTCAGGTTTATCTGCCCCAGGAAGGGCTCATGTTCGCTGAAATTTTAGTGAATTCGTAGAGTAGGGAAGCCAATGAGAAAAACTAGAAACCATCGTCTACAAGAGCCAGCTAGACCTAACAATCCATGACTCCAAGCTATTGCTTAGTTGTGAGCCTAGGAAATTCTTAGATTAGCTTCTTTTTGGAGGTAGTTGAGTATCTACTTTCAATGCTTAGATTATGATCTAGGAAATGAGCAGTGCCTAGAATAATTGTGATTTCTCTTTAGAGATGTTGTGTCTCTTTCAGGTAGCCGTTGTAGCAAATAAATGGAATCCTCGACAGACACCACTTTGGTAACTGAGCTCAGCCAGAGATTGTCCACCAACTGTAAAAGGGTGTGTTTCCCAGGGAACTGAAGGAAGTTTACATCCAGGAAGAGTACTTGGGAGAAACAAGAAGGAGCCTCTCGAACCCCTGGGGCATGACTGTCCCGATATATTGCCAATTGTTCCACACACAGTCAGGTGCTGCCTCACAATGGGGACATGTTCTGAGAAATTCACCACTAGGCGATTTCCTCCCTGTACGAACGTCATAGTGTGCACTCACATGGACCCAGAGAGTGCAGCCTACTGCACACCCAGGCTGCACAGGAAAGCCCGCTGCTGCCAGGCTACAAGCCCAGCAGCCTGTTACGGTACAAAACCACTTGAGATTAAATCAAGCACAGGGGAAAATGACCCAACTGAGAGATGTGTGAGGCTGCTGCAGTGTAGCCCAGTAACTGGTTTGCAGAGAACTCTTTTTATATTTAGAAAGAGAACACTCCAAAATAATGATGAAAAATATAGTAATCACATAAACCACGGACAGTCATTTATTATCATTATCAAGCACACTATTGTATACTGTACCAGAGTGAATGTGCTGGACTTTACACGGCACAGCACAGTCACTTGGGTCACACCAGCGTCACCACAAGCAGTGAGACATGCCTTGTGCTGTGACATCCGACAGTCAATGGTGTCATCAGAATCTTATTGGACAGCAACCCCTCGCCTGGCTTGTGGTTGGCAGCAGCACTGTTTGCGGCACAGACTGTGGCAGCACAGAGTCGCTGGCCGTTGGGGCCTACAGGGGTCCTGAGAACGCCTGACAGGGGTCTGCAGCAGGGACCCACCCTCAGTCTGGTGGAAACTGTGACTGAAAGGCGTTGGGTTCGGAACAACTGGGAATGGGGAACGGCTCCCTCACGAAAGCTCTTAAGCCCTGGACAAGCTGCCACCCTTGCCCATTAGGCTTCCGGATTGGCAGCAGGGGCTGGCATGGGGGCTGGGAGCCCCTGGTGATGAGGTCTACCACAGGGATGAGGCCTCAGTGGGAACTGCCTGGTGTTTCACAGCGCACCTCGTTGCACAGAAATGTTCTTGAGGTTGGCAGATGACCCAGCATCAACATAACACATTCCAACATTACACATTCCAAGATGGGAACTCTCGGGACCAAATCCCAGGCGGGACTTCTGGCCTTTTCTGAAACAATCTGGGCTGTTCTAACAAATAATATCACTATTACACAAGTTATATAGGTCAAGCCAGGGACATGCAGCCCAGGGAAAAAGTACATTTTATGTTTTGATTTCTTCCTTTCTTTTGGCAAAAACTTATTGTTCCCATCCCTGTTGGGGCAGAAATGGAGTCCACTTGGTGTGGAGTTGGGGAGGGACCATTCTGCCTGACTGCACTGTATTGCAGGTGCCCCTCTGTTCCAGGTGCCCCTCTGGGTACGGTGGGGCCACTGTGGGAAACACGGTGTGGGTAGGCCATGCTGGCAAACACCAGGTGCCCAGTCCCCACCCTGGCTCCCACAAGGCCAGGTCTCCTTGGTGCAGAGTGACTGGACTGCAGTTACAATAAGTCCTCGTTGGACCACACAGTGTGTGAAGTCCTGTCTGAGTTAGAGGCAAGTCTGAATGAGGCAATACTTGTTGCCTTGTAGAAGCTACCTGTATTATTGAACAGATCATGAAATTGGTATCATTTGTGGGATCATCCTGCTCCCAGCTACCCAGGCTGGAAAAATAAGAGTCATTTTTAAATTTTTCCTAGATAGAAGCAGTCACCAAAATCAACATTAAAAACAATTCCTCTCAGTGATGTTTTTCCTTTTCATGTTCTGTCCTCTCCGTGGTCCAGCTCACCTGGAAGCACCTGGGATGCGGGTGAGCACAGGCTCTGGAGAAAAACAGCCTGACATATATGTGGCTCTGCCATTCTGTCAGGTGAGTCGCACAAGCTAACTGTGTGTCCCTCGAGTCATTCTTACAAAATGAGATTTAGAATCACTCTTACTGTACGGGAAGGACTATTGTGAGGGTTATAAATTACATCTATAACAATGCAGGTGACCAGATAGTGTAGTCCCAATTGTTGCTCAAATGTGATGATTATACAAAAAAGTTTATAAGGATATGAACCAAAAATTTTTTAACTTACGTATTTGTGCTTTTTAATATTTTTAAATTTTCACAATGAACATGTATTACTTTGGTAACTAAAAACCCTAAGTATCATCTCAAGGCTCAGCTGAGCAAAGAGACATTCCAAGCCCGCCCACGCTTGTTGCCGGGATGGGTTCTTCCACACACAGCTGCTCCACCACACAGGCCTCTTCACAAAGCAGCTCAAAACATGGACTCTTGCTCGCTTCATCACACTGGGCAAGTAGGAAGAGTCAGAGAGACAAGAACGGGGGAAGACACACTGCTTTGTAACCTAATCTTGGAAGGAAACTCCCATCACTTTTGCTGCATTCTCTGTAGGAGAAGCAAGCCCACCTTAAACAGGATGCAAATATAAGGGGTGGAGATCCCTGAGAGCCGTTTTAGAAGCTACCTACCACATGTGCATACCATTTATACCAAGTTTCCTTGTTTCCCTGGGAAGTGGGTTCACAGAGCTCCTCCCGCTGCCATCCCCCTTTCAGTCTTTTAACATCATACTCCAAGTGAGCAGTCACAGAATTTGAAGAATAAAGTTCTGTACAGTAACATGGAGGAGCCACATCTTTGAATGAGGAGGATATGGCAGTGCAGCCTGGCGGCCCTGTCTCATTCTCTCCCCTACCCCTCGGTCTCTTTCCCCATCCCCCCCTCCAGCGGCAGACAGCTGACCACCACTGGCTTGAGGACGACCCCCTCCCACCATGTCAGATGCAAAAAAAATGCCCAGGGCTCATCTACATTCAGGCAGTAAATCTCCACTGGTACTGAGGCCAAAAACGAAACAATTACTGAAAAAAAACTATATTAATCTGGAATTTTCTCTTTTCTTCTGACACAGGTTGCAGGCCACACTGGCAGTCTAGAGATGGTTATTGCCTCCTTCTCTGAAAAAGAATTTTTAGACATTGGTGTAAATTTAAAGATTTTATTTATTCATACATTTTTAGATAGGGGAGCAGGGGAGAAAGAGAGGGACAGAAAAATCCATGTGCAAGAGAAACCATCGACTGGTTGTCCCTCACATGCCCACAACCAGGGACCTGGCCCGCAACCCAGGCATGTGCCCTGACTGGGAATTGAACCAGTGACCTTTCAGTTCACAGGCTGATGCCTCAGTTCACTGACCCACACCAGCCAGAGCTGAATAACTTTCAAATCATAAAATAAAATACATAAAACTATAAAAGAAACCATTACAAAGAAAATGTTATTCTAATATATTCTAAATATGATGTACTAAAATATACTGCTTTTAGTAAGAAGAAAGAATCCTGGAAATATTATAACAAGAACTAGTGGAGGCTCTAATAACTACCAAAATACTGATCAGGGCATAAGTGATTTTTCAGCAAAAACTATAAGGTGATATGAAAATATCCCAACTTCTATTAATAACAAAGTCACACTTAAGTACAGCTAATACAACTGTGGTTTTGCATACATTCAAATGAAAATAAATGCTAAATTTTGGCAGGGAAAATCAAGATGTACTGTTTCCCTACCCAAGTTAACCAGCACCCCCAAATTCTGTGAACCCAGGATAAGAACCCCTGGTATTGAAATTAGGTCTAAAACACTGGACTGGGGTACACTTCTCAGATTACCCAGTTTAAATGCAGATGCTAACTGGTGTGTGCACCCTAACATTCTGCATTTCTAACAAGCCACCAGCTAATGCCCGAATTCCAGCCCAAGGAGCACACAGTGAGGACAGAAAGGTCCGAGGTTTATCGTGGGAGAATTCAACCTGCATGGAGGTGAGAGTCAGAAACCACAGAGATGGCATTTCTTCAACAGGAAGTCCCCAGGAATGGCTTGGGGACTTCACCTGGCTTCATCCTACAGGGGCATGCTGTCTTTTTCCATGTGCTTCAGTACCTGATGACAAAAAAGAAAAGTGGAGATTTTGAGTTGCTAGACACCCTCCCTTTTCAGAAAACTACCAGGAGTAAGAGCTGATGGTCAGCTAAGTTGCCAACCCTTGGTCCACCTCAGCACGAGTGCTCACATCCATCTGGAGAGCACAGAAGTGACTCGCAAGGATAAAAGGGTTCACCAGGACTTAAAAGTTGAGATGGTCATGGAAAAGGAAATAAAGTCACTAAAGATTCTTAAGTTACTGACATATGTACCTTCATTATTTTCCTGAAGGCACAGAAAATGCACATAAATCAAATATATAATATATAATTATATATAATATATAACATGCATTATACAATAACACATGTATATAAAATACATAATATATATAAACTTAGTCTCTAAACTTGGTTCTTTTATTGATGCAAAATCAGCTGTCACAAAACTCCAGTGTCCTTGTACTTGAGATGTATTTAATATACAGAAAAAAAATACTAAAAGATCAGAAAAGCCCTGACCAAGTGACTCAGTTAGTTGGAGCATCATCTGATGCACCCCAAAAGTTGCAGGTTCCAACCCCTGTCAGGGAGCACCTGCGGGCAGGCAACCAATGGATGATTCTCTCACATCAATGTTTCTTTCTTCCTCCCTCTTTCTTCCTCTCTCTAAAAGCAACAAACATATCCTCCGGTGAGGCTTTAGAAAAAAAATATTTTTAAACAAGGGAAAAAAATCCAAATTAACAAATAAATTGCTATTATTAGCAGTACAATAGCCAGAAGTAAGCAAAATATCAAGGAAGGATAGTTTTATTTGTCCTATCCAGAGTAATTTTTACTAAGAAAAAAGAAATCTGGAGACCTAAAACATTGGGTTACATTTCTTCAGCCTCTTTAGGTGGTACCCTTTCTGTACCACCTCTCTGCATCCAGCACCTTCAACGAACCTTAATTCAAAAGCCAGATTGGAACTGCCATCAACCCCACACCTCCAGATTCTGGTTCTTTAGTGAAATAGCAGAAATTGCCAAATTTCAACCCAGCTACAAGGGCTGCTGGGCTGCTTTTAGGGTGCCCTCTGCTGGCCACAGATGGAAACAGGAGTAGAAATCTCCACACAGGTAAAAAGAGTCATTTAAGAAAAATTGAGGGGATCCTGCCAAGATGGAGGCCTAGGTTGATACACTTTGTTTCCTTGCACAACCAAAAGAAAGACAACAAATTTAGAAACAAAAAAACAACCAGAACTTCTAGAAATCAAACTGTATGGAAGTCCGACAACCAAACATTCATCCAGACTGATGCACTGAGACAAAGAAATATGACCCAAATGAAAGAACAGATCAAAACTCCGGAAAAGGAACTAAGTGACAAGGAGATAGCCAACCTATCAGATGCACAGTTCAAAATACTGGTAATCAGGATGCTCACAGAATTGGTTGAGTATGGTTGCAAAATTGAGGAAAAAGTGAAGGCTATGCAAACTGAAATAAAGGAAAATGTACAGGGAGCCAATAGGGAAGGTAAGGAAACCGGGACTCAAATCAATGATTTGGAGAAGGAAGAAAGAAACATTCGACCAGAACAGAATGAAGAAACAGGAATTCAAAAAAATGAGGGGGGGGCTTAGGAACCTCTAGGACAACTTTAAATGTTCCAACATCCAAATCATAGGGGTACCAGAAGGAGAAGAGGAAGAGCAACAAATTGAAAACTTATTTGAAAACATAATGAAGGAGAACTCCATAATCTGGTGAAGGAAATAGGCTTCCAGGGAGTCCAGGAAGCTCAGAGAGTCCCAAAGAAGTTGGACAGAAGGAAGCACACACCAAGACACATCATAATTACATTACCCAAGATGAAAGATAAGGAGAGAATTTTAAAAGCAGCAAGAGGAAAGAAAAGAGTTACCTACAAAGGAGTGTCCATAAAGCTATCACCTGATTTCTCAAAAGCAATCTTGCAGACAAGAAGGGGCTGGAAAGAAGTATTTGAAGCCATGAAAAGCAAGGACCTACATCCAAGACTGCCCTATTCAACAAAGTTCTCATTTAGAATGGAAGGGCAGATAAAAAGCTTCCCAGATAGGGTCAAGTTCAAGGAGTTCATCATCACCAAGCCCTTATTATATGAAATGTTAAAGTGACTTGTCTAAGAAAAAGAAGATCAAAACTATGAACAGTAAAATGACAACAAACTCACAAATATCAACAACTGAACCTAAAAAAAAAACAAAAATGAAAACAAACTAAGGAAACAACTAGAATAGGAACAGCATCACAGAAATGGAGATCACATGGAGGGTTATCAGTGGGGAGAGAGTGGAGGAAGAATAGGGGGAAAAGTACAGGGAATAAGAAGCATAAATGGTAGGTACAAAATAAACAGCTGGAGGTTAAGAATAGTATAGAAAATGGAGAAGCCAAAGCACTTATATATATGACCCATGGACATGAACTAAGTCGGGGAGACTGGGGGAATGCTGGTGGGAGGGGTGGTGCAGGGTGGAGGGGGATAAAGAGGAGGAAAGAAATGGAACAACTGTGATAGCATAATCAATAAAATATACTTAAAAAATAATGAGTTGAGAGGCAGGCAGCATTGTAATAAGAATATCTTCCTCTAGGGTTCAGCTGGGGATCAAATGAGATAACATTATAGTTTTGAAAGTATTTCTTAATATTTTGTAAACAGTCTTTATTTTTTATCCTCACATTTACCCCCACCCAGACTATATCTATTTAGTATTTACTTATCAATTGAGTCTATTCCAAAAATAAAAAGAAATGCCCACACTTGTCCTGATCTTAGAGGACAATTGAAAGTAATGTGAAGGGCTACAGGGAATGTCGAAACAAACTTCTCACTCTAGCTCGTGTGGCGCAGTGGACCGAGCATCATCCCTCTAACCAAAAGGTCGCTGGTTTGATTCCCAGTCAGAGCACATGCCTGGGTTGCAGGCCAGGTCCCCAGTTAGGGGCACATGAGAGGCTACTGATCAGTGTTTCTGTCCTTCTCTTCCTCCCTCCCTTCCCCTCTCTCTGAAAATAAATAAATAAAATCTTTTTAAAAAAATAGTTTCTCAAGGCAATTTAAGAAAGGGTTTATACAGTGGGAGATGACGGCCTTATGGGAGGACATTTATGTTAAGCCAGGTGAGGGTAGTGGATTTTACTCTGATCTTTAAAGATAAACAAGGAAAAAAAATCATTTCAGGTTATGAGCTAGACACTCCCCGCCCCCCATCCTTTGGAATATTTGTATAGTTTAGGGTCATAGTTCACTGCTGATGGAGGTGGATCTCCAGGTTGAGCATATTTCAAGAGACTGGTAACATTGTTGCTCCTAGGCATCTCACTAGAGAGCCACCAGCAAGAATAGGAGCTCTTTCTGTACGTCCTTTTGTACTGAGAAAGAAAATGCTTCAAACCTGAGCTTTGTAGTCTGACGTTATTAGCTGTTCATTTGGGAAAGTTATCATTTGTGATAGAGATTAATGGGCATACCATCCAGAAATTTCATCTAGAAGGCCATCAGTCTTGACAGAGAACAATGACCATTAAATGACCAGTCTTAGAAAATAAGTAATGATTGAAGACAGTCTTTACTTTGTATCCAAACTAACAACAAGGATCCTGGCATGCTTTTTCCCTACAAAATGCCTTGGAAAAGAGGGACCTTTATCAGCCTGCTTGGAAACACATTTAAAATAACACTTTGATATATGCTTGTAAAAAAAAAGAAGAAGAAGAAGAAGAAAAGGTGACAATATTTGGGTGATTGCCAAAGAAAAATTTCCAATAAGAACTCCCACCCCCGGCATTCTAGTTATGAAAACAAAATACTGACCATATTAAAACTTTATAAAAACACAAAAATGATTTCCTTTAAGATTTCTAAGGATAAAATTAGAAAAAAAATGGGAAGAAAGCAAAAGACTCTTTTTGTTTTCTGTCACTGAGAAAAATAAGAAATTTATATTTACATTTTCCAAATCTTAGCAGTCTGGTCTCTGGGTTTCAGAAGTGATGTTGATGGTGTAAGAGATGGTGGCTACACAGCTTGGGAGCCTCAAGGTCACATTCCACAAGCCTTTTAAAAAGTGAAAAATAAACTGAAATAATAAAGAATTCCTACAACTCAACAACAGAAACCAAACAATCCAATTCAAAAATGAGCAAAGGATTTGAACAGACATTTCTCCGAAAAAGACATACAAGTTGTTAATTAGCACTTAAAAAGATGCTCAACATCACTAATCATCAGGGAAATGCAAATGAAAACCACAGTGAGATATCACCTCACAACCATTAGGATGGATACTACCAAAAAAAATAGCAAGTGTCAGACAGGATGTGAAGAAATTGGAAATCTTGTGTGCTGCTGTACAAGGAAAGCAAAATCATGCAGCTCTGGTCCGTGTTACTCTGGCTGAGAGTAATGAAGCCTAGAGAGGGAGTTTGGAGAGCATCCGGTGGGCAAATACAAGGATGTGCTGGGAGAGCAGCTGGCTGGGAGAGCGCCTAGAAGCTCCAAACCATTTCCCTCATACTTGTCCTCTGCATCTCTTCCCTTTCACTGTTCCAGTTGTATCCTTTATAATAAATTGGTAACAAAATAGAACACTTCTCTGAGTTCTGTGAGCCATTCTAACAAATTACTGAACCCAAGGAAGGGGAAATCCCTGATTTATGGCTGGTTAGTCAGAGCACCAGTCATAGCCTGGGACTTGGGATTGCCATCTGTGCTGGGGAGGCAGTCTGAGTCTTAACATGCAGGGTGTGTGTGGTAACTGCAGGTAGTACCAGAATTCAACTGTAGGATACCCAGTTGGTGTCCAGAGAGTTGGAGAACTGCTTAATATGAAAAAAAAAAAAAAAGACCTCACATATTTGCTGTCAGAAGTGCTCTGTGCATAGGAAACACATTTTATTTTAATATTTTTCCGTGTAAAATGAGCAATTTTTTGCCCAAATTTTTGAGGGAAAAATAAAATGATGTGCATTACACATGGGTAGTACTAATTCTGTATCTATATAAATGTTTTTTTATTTATGCTTATGTGTTAAAAGTGTAACTCTAGAGAGTAATAACAATACACATATGCAAAATTATACCTTGGAATATGATAATAGGTTTTGTTTCTAAATATGAATAAAAATTGAATTAAAAGTTAAAGCAAAAGATTTTTTTTCCTGAAAGTCTGAGCCAAAAACATGGATGTGCATTATACATGGCAACATATGGTCAGAGCACTGTCTCAACGACGCATGTGTACACCCATGTTTATGGCAGCGTCACTTGTGCACGGCGATGAGGGGGAGCAATCCAAACACCCACTGACAGGGCGCCCTCTGAATGGGTCGACACAGTGTGGTGTGTCCCTGTGATGGCGTAGTATTAGCCTTGAGAGGGAAGGAAATTCTGACACACGTCATAACACAGATGAACCTTGAGGACATTGTCCTAACTGAAGTCAGCCAGACACAAAGAGCAAGCACTGTGTGACACCACTTAAATGAGTTACCAGGAATAGTCCAATTCATACAGACAAGTAGAACGATGGTTGCCAGGGCAGATGAGGAGTTACTGTTTGATGGATACAGAGTTTCGGTTTGCAAGACGAAAATGTTCTGGAGCTTGGTTGTTCAAAAATGTGAATATATTTAGCACTACTGATCTGTACACTCAAAAGATAGTAAAGATAGTTAAGATAGTAAATTTTATGTGTATTTTACAATTAATTTTTTTAAAATTTTTAAGTAAATTGAAACAACACATCAGTACAATCATTCCTTCATTTGCTGCCCTGCCCACACCTGGTTCAGCTTCTAGAAACTTAGAAAGTTAGAGCTGGTGGGGATTTAAAAATCCAGCTCAACTTCACAGGTTAAAATAATGGAGGTCACAATGTAAGGTGACCTGTGAAGGTCTTGGTGGGTTAGCAGTGAAGACTAAAAGGAAGTGAAATGGGGAACAAAGCAAGGGTCCTCAAAAATGTAGGAATATCCCCCACAGCCCATTTTTGGGGGATGGGGGGAGATAAGTTGACAGTCATTTAAGATACTTTGTGTTACAATGGCAAGTGGGTAGCCACATCTTTTCTGAAGGGAAGCTGTTCTACCACTCCAGGCAAAAGGTGTCCGAGTGACTTAGCAATTAGTGACTCCTAATAAAGCCCTGGGAGGTGACTGTCCTCCCCGGAAGCCCCTGCATCACAGGAACTCTTGCCCTGACTAAAGATGGCAGCCAAGGGAAGCTAAAAGGCACCGGAAACTGACCAATATAACTCATTGTAGGAGGAGCCAGAGATGAGGTCAGGTAGGAAGCTCTGGGTCGTGATTTAAACTAAGGCAGGCACAGAGAGAGAGGCTGGTCTGCCTTGAGGGCTGAGAGAGTAAGTAGCAGCTGTGATCTACAGTGAAGAGGGCAGCCTGTGAGAGAATTTCAGCCATGCTGCTTGTGGTGAGGGAGGAGCTACATCTGCTCCTCTGAACAGGCAGCCACAAGGAAGGAGCCATGAGGTCTGAGAGAGAAAGCAGCAAGCAGCTGAGCAGTTTGTAGTCAGGTTTTGCCATGTGGCCTGGTGTAGTAAGGAAGGAGCTGGAGTAAGAAAGAGACCTGCTAGGAAACCTGCCTGGAGAAGGGCACAGCTGATGGTGCTGGGAATTGCAAGGACCTGCCTAACCAAACACGGATTAGTAGGAGATGACTGGAATGCTGTACTGTGCCTGGGAATGCTGAGACTAGAGACTTTTGCTTCCGTGAAGGATGTACAGAGAAGCCACTTTCTTGGGACTTGTGCTTTCCCAGACTTCACCATGATCCAGTGTAACATGACACATTTTTCTGGCCAACCACATGGAGGCTGAGGAGAAGTACCCCAGATCCTGAAGGAGAGGGCTGCTGCAAAAGGACGGCAATTCTGAAACCTATGAGTGTACCTTCCAGAGGGGATAGAGAACTGTTTGTGCAGCCAGCTTAACAACAGATAAGGAGATGGGGAACTACTGGGCTTATTTTTGGCTTATAGCCTGGTGAGGAGCAAAGGCAGTGCACGGTCTCGTGGGAGAGCTGGGCTCCAAGCAGGAGCACTCCGAGCTCCAAGGCCGGAATCCCGTGAATAAAAATCTGTTTCCCTCAATAGTAATTGTTGGGTTGTGCACCAAGGTGCCATGTGCACAGGCCCCAGTTAGCTCGGGTATTAGAAAGGGCTCTTGTCTCCCAGACGGGCACCCTAGCTTCACCACAACCCCGTGGGGATGGCATATTTCTTGATGGGGAGAGTAATGACGACTCTCACCCACTCAAGGCTCATTCCCAAAGATCACGGATCTGGGAGGTCAGGCAGGCCTAGAAGAATACATAACTTTGGTTAAAGTCCACGTGATCTGAATTTCATAGCCCCCGGAGCAAACTTGGAGGGAGATGAGGAGAGAAATATGACCTACTTAAATGTTGACAGGGCATAGTAAGTCTTGTAATATGTTCCATTGAGTTATTTTGTAATTTTTCTCAATACAACCTTAAAAGGAGTATCACTCTTGAAGGCAGACTGAAGAACTGACTTACTGTTTTTCTGCCTGTCTGCCATAATATCACACACAGTAGGAGGCATGCATATAAATTATTTTTTATTTTACTTTGATGATTGGGAAAAATATAAGGTCAAATCAAAGCTAACGGATAACTACTGGCAGTTAATCAGGTAATTTAATGAAAATAAAAATATGTCTGTTTAAACTGAAAAAATGCTCTCACTGTCACTTTGCTTTGGCTGGGGCCTTTGAAGTTAAGGCGAAGGTGCTGGTAAGAAAGTAATCTCTTTCACAGAGTCGACCTTGTACCTCCTCGTAAGCACAGGCAGTAGCGGTGAACAGCAGGGGAGTGGTCAACCGCACAGGACCCCTGGAAACAATCCCTTTAAACAGTGGCTTATTTTGAGAAGATTCACTTTTGGCTGGTAAGGCTTTGCCCGAACACATTTCTCAGGGCAATGATGGCTCATTGTGCAATGCGTGTGAGGTAGATTCTCTCAGACATTTCTTTTCTTGCTTTCACCAGAGGGTGTCCCACACCTCAAAGGTCTGGTGTCACTTTCCCACATCCAGGAAGGACTGCCCTCATAGCCACCAGACCGCAGGTCCGCCTGCAATCCTGCCCCAGTGTCTAACTCTTCAAATCTGGAGGGATGTTTTCTTCGTCCACAGGTTGTTTAGGTTTTAACTGACTGCTCAGAGTTAAAAAGGAGTATCTCAAGCCCCCTGCCATGCTGAAAGGAAGAAAAAAAAAAGTGAAAATAAAGAAAATCCCCAGCAATCACCGCCACCTTCACAAACAGAGTCAGCCTAACTTGAGGGAATTATGAGCCCCCTGGTTTTCCTCATCTGTAGATTACTTGATTGGAATTACCCCTCTTACTTTAAAAATCTTCTGGGGCAGAAAAAAAAAGAGTAGGTCAAATCTAATACAGAACCTTATTGAGAAAATAAACACTTGGTTATTACTGAAGAAACTATACATTACTATCCTAAAAAGCATCCCATGTCTGGAACCCCGAATGGCCTTTCACAAGTAACTCAGTCACTCCTCTCGGCGCCCTCAGCACGTGGGGCTCTGACAGAGCTCAGGTTTACTGAGGCCCACTTCACAAGAGGAAGACAGAGAATGCAGGGGACTTTTCTGTGAGGAAGACACATGAATTAAATTTAGATCTCAGCCCCCAGAATGTTAACTACTCATGACCCCATGCTCTACAGGAGGGAGTATGTCACAAAAACAGATGAACTGAGTAGTTTAGGTACAATTATCTTAAAAACTGTCATGTCAAAACACCTATTCTTTCACTTATACTTATCAGACTTTTAAAAATTCATATTTTGCTAAAACAAATTCATTTAAAAAATCCCACTTACCAAATATTTAAGCCTATGAAGTTTGACACAGAGAAAATGTAATCTCCACCGACTACCATCCCAATGTAGGCAATGGATACATTCTGCAGGAAAAGACAGGACTGGTCACTTTAAAAGTAAAGAATTTAGGAGAAAAATATGATGAAATCGGAAACTAAGTATTTCAGTTACTCTGCACATAGTAGGTGATCACAGAATGTTAGATGAAGGAACACAAACCACTGCATGGGCCTCACTGGAAAGTGAAGTGAACTGCGCATGATACACACAAGCACACCGCATCACTCGTGCCCCTGCGCTCGTGCACAGGAAGAAGACGCACGAGCTGGGCTGTAACCAGTGTTCCAGATCCCAGCTCTTCACCATTACTGGACAGTAAATTTTAATTATATTGATCCTAAACTTAACAGATTAGAGACATTTCATAAATTCCAAGCACTTCTCTGTCCAGTGTATTCTAAGAGGCCTTTGGGCAGCCAATAGACCAGCCTGCTGTGGAAGCAGGCAGGTTTCCTCACTCGAGGAGTCATGTGAAGAGAAAAACAAAGCACCTGTAGGAGAAAACTTGGAACACCCCTCCCCTCCATCATTCGTGAGTGTACTCAAATGCAGAGGCACACACATGCAAATACCCACACCAATCTTCGAGTTTATCACCCTGTAATTGAGCATATATAGAGACTGAAACTGTTTTTCACAAGAATTCCCTTTCTTGGTCAGCAGATCCTCCCAGAAAACCAAAGTATAGATGACAAGATATCTTGGTGAGTGCAGAGATTTGGCGTTTTTTTTTGTTTTTTTCATTTTACACTCCCAGATCATTCTCTCCTCCCAATTGAAAATCATAATTTGTCTCTCCTTTTTAAATTAGCGAGTCCTCCCTCTGTTTTATGCACTAAGGAGGTTGGAAGACGGAAGAAACGATCACCCCGGCACAGGTGAATATGTCACAAACCTCCATTCTGACTACCATATAAATAATAAAATCAAATTTAGCTTCTACTGCAAAGATTGGGTTTACAGTCAAGTTCTCAATTCGATTATACATCCCAAGGCTTCACCCAGTTACCTTGACGGCTCCAACCACCGCTGTCGTCAGGGCGGAGTTGTAGTAGCTGCACAGCACCGTGGAGTACATCAACAGAAACCTGGGCAAAGGGGCAAACCCTGAGTGTGGGCCTGACAGTGCTGGTAGTAACAACAGATCGCTTAAGAAGAGCCAGCGAGTGCCCCCCACTCAGGTACTTTAATACCAAAAAGTTTTATGGCCTACATCTTAAAACATTCTTAACTCTGACCTTTTACAGGAAATTGGTCTAGTTGTACATGCACCAAACCTTCTACCTTGTGTCCTTTTCATTTTGTCTGTCTTTCCCATTCATGTTTCTTTGAAAATGAGGTAAGAACAATGAGATTTTTAAAATGATCTGAAATCTTTCACTTGACAGCTACATTATAACACTGGTTTTTAACCTTCTCTGTGCACCAGAATCACCTGGTGCGCTTGGAACACTCAATAATGGCAGGCAGAGGTTCTCTTTCGAGTGGTTTGAGGTGGGCCCCGCATGCAGTCTCACAGCCCCACGGATGACCCTCGTGTGCAGCCAGCCAAAGAACTACAGGTGTTAGAAAAATCAGCCCTGGCTGGTGTGGCTGAGTGGATTGAGCATTGGCTTGCGAACTGAAAGCTCACTGGTTCGATTCCCAGTCAGGGCACAGGCCTGGGTTGTGGGGCAGGTCCTGGGCTGAGGGCATATGAGAGGCAAGTGATCTCTCACACAACAATGTTTCTCTCTCTCTGTCTCCCTCCCTTGCCCTCTCTCTAAAAATAAATAAATAAATAAATAAATAAATTCTTTACAAAGGAAAATTGGCTAAGCAGTCGCTAGCTTTAGACAAAGGAGACTGAAATAAATGGATTCTCCATTTAGTGATAATCCTGTACCCATTACCAAAGTTAATTCAACAGGCATTCGACACTCTCCAGTATTCTGACACTTAAATTTGTTAACAAAATGATGGCAGAATTGTGACTAAGTTCCAGACAAGAATATATACATACCCAGAAAATTGATTGAAATGAATCTACAGTCAGATTCATTTCAATCAAGCAGTGAAGAAAATTAGCTTCACCCTAAGTGGGGTGCAAAATACCGCCCACCTGATTCAGGTGATTAAATGGTGAAAGGGATTATAATCAAAACTGGTTGAGAATGAAACTGAAAAAACAGAGAGAGCACAGATGACGTGTTGGATTTTAAACCTAAATCCCAGATAGAAGGCAGGAACTTGGATCTGCCACTGACAGAGAGAACCAGGCTCTCAGAAAGGATCGTCCTATGCACCTGGTAAGTAAATCCTGCAGGAATTTTAGCACTCGGTCTCCGATCCAGGCCCAAATCTCTCATTGTTGGTAACAGAATCAGAATCATAAATCAACACAGTAACCACTTTTGGCCTAAGATGTGTATTACCAGGTGCAGTAAAGAAAAAATTAGAGATAAAGTACAATATGCCAAGCTTTAACATAAAGTTGAAAAATAAACTCAATTACAGTTTTAAATTTTGTAATTCTCAGAAAAATGTGTCTTTATTATGAAGATAATCACAACAATTTGACAAGTTAGAGAAGCCAACATCTCAGTCTTTGTGGTTTTAATTTGAAATGTGCAATTGATGTTAGACTTGCCCATTTCATTTTCATTTGAAAGGAGTAAAAGAGCCAAAGTAAATCGATGCAGAGGACTTGAATGTTGAAAAGAAGTGATTTACTACATTTTCAACTTTGGTGTACTAGATTTCAAAGAGTTGCTTGGGTGTGTAAAGCACCGGGTTCATTAGCTTTGCTATGGTCTTGTTAGGGCTAGAAATTACTGGGAGAAAAAAAAAACACAAGTAAATCATGTTTGTAAATGCAGTTTTAAAAGGTTAAAAATATTTTAATTCATTAAGTTGTAAATGAGACTAATCTACAGTACATTGTTTAGGAGATTTTAATCAGTTAAACTTGAAATAACAAATCATTAATCAAATAATGAAAGTAAAATTATTATATTTATACTAAATTATTAGCTTTATAAATAGAGCAACAGCATTTAAATATTAAAGGCTTAAAGAAATCTAAGTTTAAAAAATTTTCACATTCTTAATAAATTCAACATTAATTTACAGCTCTGCAGAACTATAAATAATCCTACTCATGCACAAAATAAAGATTTAAAAACTCAGCCTGATGTTAATGAGTGCCTGCCCCGCTGGGCCGGGGCAGTAAGAGAACAGTGCCACAGCACCTACTCTGGAGGAGCCTGGAGGCTACTAAAATCATAGAGATTACAACTCAGGGAAGGGCACCAACCCAATTCTGGGAACACAGAAAAGCTCCCAGCAGGCTTCCTCAACTGCAATGTAGCCTTAAATCCCGACAAGCATGGATGTTCTTTATTTTTATTTTTGCTTAAAAATTCCTATTCCAGTGTTCCAATCATGCAGCATTTTTTCCATACTACACTTTAGGGAAACCATCTTGGCCTGCATTCAGAATCACAGACACCTTGGATCTAAGGTTCCAATACCCATCTACCACAAGTGTGGGCATCTAAGAAACTCACCAGCTGGAATAAGCAGGGGAAGAGCACCCCTCTCTAACATTCAGGTGGAGTTTGAATTAGCGAGTAGTTCTGGGCAACAGACGGTGTCTAGACAGAACAGCTGCACTTTATAGTGTAACCACTAGGTGTCCCCAAAGAGGATGAATGTAAAACCACTAAGATCAGAGCAGTGTACTAATTTTTTTCTGAGAAACATAACGTATTTCTATATGTAAATAAGTACCTATGCAGACCTTTGGTGAAGACAAAGGTTCTAAACTAAAAGAACATCTATGAACTTCAGTCCAAAGGAAACCACATCACTTTTAACACTAAAAAGTCAACCTTCACATGACAGTAATTTTTATTTTAGCACCTGAAGATGAATAAAATGCAAAGATACTTAAAAGCACTGCAATTGCTCAGCAGCTTTGGACTTCTGCATTTTTAAAATCATATATCTTCTGTGTACATTTGAAAAATAAAAGCACATATATGTGATACATATTTATTCAGATAGCAGATGCCAGATCCATGTTTTGGCTGATAGGGCCCAAGGGAGAAAGGTGCCCATGTAGACATGTGGACCACCCTGGGCCCACACCCCTGCCCAAGGTTTCCTCCTGTTTCTGTAAATGACATACCCACCACAAAAAGAAAAAAAACATTAAGCCCTGGCTGGCGTAGCTCAGTGGATTGAGCGCGGGCCAGGAACCAAAGTGTCCCAGGTTCGATTCCCAGCCAGGGTACATGTCTGGGTTGCAGGCTATAACCCCCAGCAACCACTCATTGATGTTTCTCTCTCTCTCTCTATCTCTATCTCCCTCCCTTCCCTCTCTAAAAATAAATAAATAAAATATTAAAAAATCTAAAAAAAAAAACAACAACAACAACAGAAGAATGTGTGAGGGTTTGAGGGACTTTCCTGTAAGAAATCTCTCATACATATGTTTAACATTTACCTAAGCCTGTCTGGCACACTCATGCCAGTCACAACAGAACTGAAATGATCTCATTTACAACCTCATTTACAACCTATTGCAAGTCACCATTCCATGCACAAACATATGTAGAAATTCAAACAAATGTTCAAATAATAAAAGGCCACTTTAACACTCCTTGCACTGACCACAATGGTGCCCTGGAACATTACTTTTTCATAATACTAGGTTTCAAAGAATTTCAAGAAGCCTCATCTTGCTCACCTCTAGAGGAGTTCACTTCAACCCCAGCCCTCCACGATGGGCAAGGATGCTGAAGTCATGGGATGAATACAGCCCACCTTCATGGAGCATGGATTTCTCACTAAGATTCGGTTCACTGGGAAACAATGGGGGTATCTGCCATCTTTAAAGCTCCTGCGGTTCCTGTGCCCAGCAATCCACAAAATTGTGTTTTCTTGTGTATGCTACATCTCGGTATTATCAATGAAAGTTCAAAGAACACAACATTTTCTATTCCATAAGTCGGGAACTTGGATGCATTGGTGTTTTTATTAAGGAATCCATTGCTGTTTCAGTAGGACTAAAGGGCCTGTTACTGGGGCAGAAACAGATTAGGACAATCACCTCCGAGCCTGGGGCCTGGTGCCAGCGGCTGCTGTGGATGAACCTGTCACTTCTCAGCAAGATTAAAAAGAGCTGCAGAACTAGCTTTTTGAAATCCAGCCGGTCAACTTAAATTATAGTCTATATTTTACTATCTTAGCTTCCAGAATCCAATTTATCTTTCTGACATAATTTCACTGTTATGTTATGATTTATGTACAAACTCCTGATTACCAGTAGCATTTCTTAAAGCTGGGTCCTTCATCATAACTCAACAGAAAAGTCTCTCCTCTTCACCATTCCACTGAGGTATAAGTATATTTTTAAAGTACTATAATTTTCTTAAATTTATTTTCAACTTGGAATAGAGGTTGAGTGGTTGGAAAAAGTAAGGCTGAAATGCAAACTTGAAAGCAGTGACTGTAAGTAAGAAGCTGGACATCAGGGCCCTCTGGTGTCTAGGATTAGAAGCTCCTTGAGCAGGGACCTAAGAGAAGGGACAGCCTGAACCCAGTGCCAGTTGTCCTGAAAACCAAGGATATTCCCAGAAGTTCACAATGGTCTCTACTACTTCAAAGAGGCAAATGACCCCATCATATGGTGTCTTTTAAGGAGAAAGCAGGATTCTGAAAAATCTACCACACCAAAATTGAAGTCTCCTTCTAGAGCAGTTTCAGAATTAAAACAACTGCTGAAGGTAAAGAACACATAACAGAAGGAACACTCCTGAATCCATGGCTATAGGGAGAACGAAATGTATCTATGGTGAAAAAAAAAAAAAGACAGCCAAACTGAACAGGCTGCCCTCAAAAAACAGAAATATTTTTTATTTTTTCCATTTCCATTTATCCTCCTTATTTCTCCTCTCCCCTGCAACCACCCCATTCTTGTCCATGAGTCCTTTTTCCTTTTTGCTCAATCCCTCCACCCCCTCACCCCCGCCATAGCTGTCATTCTGCTCTCTATGAGTAAGAAACAGAATTATTGACAACAATAATATTTAATATTTACTGA